GCTACTCTCGGCGTTCTGCACTTAACTCGGGCTGTAGGGAGGCTGCAGGGCGGGTAATCACAGGAATCGATTCGGAGACATCAGACGCGTCCGTCTGTCGCATTCAGAGGTCTGAACTCGGTCTGATACTCGAGTTGGGCTGAAAAACTATTCGTTCTCTGCATTTTTTTCGACATTATATGTTGTCAGGAAGCTCTACGAGTCCCCCGGCGGTAACAAATGTTGACGGTTTACCGCCGGCGCCCTAGAAGCTTCCCCAAGCTTTAGTTGCTGGACCTGAAGAGTTAAATTTCCGGCGCGCCGTGAGAGCTTAGTTGCTCGAAAAAAAAAAAGAACTGAACTTTTCACAACTTTTGGTCGGTTGAAAATTTTTTGTTCTCGAAATTCAACAATTCGGTTTTGCTCTAGTTTTTTTCCCGTGATATCGATCTTATTCCCGCTCGCCATCTTGATCTCAGCTCGATCGGGTATCTTTTACTGCCAAAAAGCACACTGGCGGAATCGGCCGTTTCGAGTCATCTTGATACGCGTTGTCGGTATTTTGTACTTAACTCGAGCTGTAGGACAGCTACAGAGCTGGTAAGCACAGCTAATCGATGTAGAATGATTAGGCGCGTTCGCCTGTTGAACCCAGAGCTCTGAACTCGTTTCGTTAGCCGAGCTAGGTCCGCAAACCTATTCGTACTATTCGAGTCATCTTGATTCGCACTGTCGGTATTCTGAACTTAACTCGATATATAGGACAGCTACAGAGCTGGTAAGCACGCCTCATCGACTCAGAATGATCAGGCGCGTTCGGCTGTTCGAACCAGTCCTGCAGAAGGTCCTGAACTCGTCGGCTAGCCGAGCCAGGTTCCGCAAACGTATTCGTGTTCGTATTATTCGATCATCTTATCGAATCATCTTGATAGCGCTCTCGGTTTCCTGTACTTAACCGCGAGCTATAGGACACTACGGGTGATGCTTAAAGAAACCGGTTCAGAATTTCAGTCGCGTTTTGTCTGTCGAATTCCAAGAGCTCTGAAACTCCTGCTTGCTGCTGCGATCCAGAATCACGAAACTGTTCGTATTCTTCAGTCATCTTGGAGGTGCTGTCGCGTTTCTGCACTTAACTCGGCTGTAGGGAGGCTCAGGGCGTTAATCACAGACCGATTCAGAGACATCATTACGCGTCCGTTCTGTCGCATTCAAGAAGTCTGAACTCGGTGCCTATACTCCGAGTTGGGCTGAAAAACTATTCGTTCTCTGCAATTTTTTTCGACATTATATGTTGTCAGGAAGCTCTACGAGTCCCCCGGCGGTAACAAAGGTTGACGGTTTACCGCCGGCGCCCAGTGATGACTTTTGGGTGGTTTTGCGAATATTTGAAAGATATTTGACAATTCATTTTGAGAAGGCAGATTTTTCGCACCTGTAGTGGGTTATTTCGCGTCTGCCAGTAAAATTTTCAGGTTTATAGGTGCAGTATTACTATCACATCACTTGGCGGATCCGACGTTGAATAAAAACAGAAAAACGTGATTTTTCGAGTTTTTTGTTTCTCGCTCCAAATTTTCTGTATGTGCTCCGACGATCGTACCGTGTTTTTACGGGATCTCACCCCGTTCTGCTAAGCCCAGATGGGTGAGATCTCGTAAAAAAAACGTTGGGCCCACGACCCTCCAGGCTTGCGCCGAGGCCGACCGTGAGCTTTAGGATCGTGTTCTTACGGGATCTCACCCCTTTCTGCTAGGCCCAGATGGGTGAGATCCCGTAAAACACGGTAGCCGCGCGCGGGGGCTCGGTGCCTCCCGCTTCTAAAGACTTCCGAGAGCCTCCGGGACCCCCCAGAGGCCCCCAACACACGCCCATCCTTGAGAGGCCCCAAAGAGGCCCGACGAGGCTCCAGGAACAGCCCGAGAGAGCTGCGCGATCCGCCCCGAGAGAGCCCAAAGAGGGTCAAATCGTTGATTTCCAGTACTTTCTCATAGTGTTTTTCGCCTTCTCACGTTTTCCCGCTTCCAACCTTCAAAGATCGAGCATTTTGGAAAAATATCCCGGCAAAGCAACCTAACAGCGATATGTAGGAGCATATCTGGAAGCATTCCCCTTAAGATTCAAATGAAAATCCAGTTGTCGAATTCTGCTGTTCTCGCAGTCGTAATCGCATTCGCGATGACAGTCGCAGCGGCAACGGCAGTCGCAGTCACAGCCTCAGCCTCAGCCTGCCTCAGCCTCAGCCTCAGCCTGCCTCAGCCTCAGCCTGCCTCAGCCTCAGCCTCAGCCTGCTTCAGCCTCAGCCTCAGTCTGCTTTCAGCCTCGGCCTCAGCCTCAGCCTGCCTTAACCTCAGCCTGCATCAGCCTCAGCCTCAGCCTCAGCCTGCCTCAGCCTCAGCCTGCTTCAGCCTCAGCCTCAGCCTCAGCCTGCCTCAGCATCAGCCTGCTTCAGCCTCAGCCTCAGCCTGCCTCAGCCTCAGCCTCAGTATGCTTCAGCCTCAGCCTCAGTCTGCCTTCAGCCTCGGCCTCAGCCTCAGCCTGCCTCAGCCTCAGCCTGCCTCGGCCGCAGCATCAGCCTGCCTCAGCATTCAAAATGTGGCCCAGGAATGGATTTCTGGGAACTAGAAGAACACGAGATGGCCTACAGTTGGCTCCGGGCATTCAAAATCATGCCCAGGAATGGAGTTCTGGGAACTTGAAGAACACGAAGTGGCCTACAGTTGGCTCCGGGCATCCAAAATGTGGCCCGGGAATGGAGTTCTGGGAAATCGAAGAGCACGAAGTGCCTACAGTTGGCTCCGGGTATCCAAAATGTGGCCCGGGAATGGAGTTCTGGGAAGTCGAAGAGCACGAAGTGGCCTACAGTTGGCTCCGGGCATCCAAAATGTGGCCCCGGAATGGAGTTCTGGGAGCACCAAGAGCGATTTTGCGAGGATGTCCCAAGCGATTTCGGCTTCGGCGGCAGCCGCGGCGGCAGCCTGTCCGGGTCCCGCCCAGACCCCCCTGAGAAGTCATGATGCTCTCTTTTGAGACCACTAGAAACCTATCAGCAAGAGCTGTTAGGTAAACAAAACAAGGAGTTGAGGAAACAGGGAAGCCCTGACAAGGGCAACGCCCATTCATGCAGAGACTGTCCTCCTCCGTCTCTTCCTCCTCCTCGTCCTCCTCCTCCTCCTCCTCCTCCTCCTCCTCCTCCTCCCCCTCCTCTTCCTCCCTCCCTTCCTTGTCCCTCTGACTAACTCCTCCCTGTCGCACCCCGAGGCCTGTCGGAAGGGCGGGCCGGGCGCTTGACCTAAGACGCCCCGACTTACCAGTTCTGAGCCTGAGGCTTAAAAGCTGACAACCCTTTCACACATGGACTGGTCATCGCTCGGACGTCCATTCCCTGTGTTGTTTTCCGGTTTCGTGCGTGGTTTCTTTCGCCAAATGATCAAGGATGCTCTTCGATGGTCCCCGCCGAAGGAAAAATGCACACGTCCGAGCGATGCCAAGTGGAGGGCGGGTGGTTTTCAAATGTGGCTCTCGCCCTCGCGCCGCGCGAAATTCGTCTTCGACCTGTAAAAAACTTCACGGATTGAGGACACGTCATTTTCAAAACGTGGCTCTCGCCTGAGTTCCGAGCAAATCTGTGTTCAGCATCTGCAAGAGCTTCGCGGCTTCAGGACAGGTGACTTCAAAATATGGCTCTCGCCTTAGCGCCGCGTTCATTTGTTTTTAACATGTTGCAACTGCAAAAGTATCACGGATTGAGGACGGCTCGTTTTCAAAATGCGGCGCTCGCCTTACCGCCTAGCGCATGCCTTACAACACATTGCAAGAGCTTCTCAGATTGAGGGCGGTTCCTTTTCAAAATTTGGCTCCCGCCTTAGCGCCCACACATTCGTTTCAATATTTTGCAAAAAAGTTCCACTGGTTCTTATAGGTAACGTACCGGAAATGATTTCGTGGAGCGATTCAGGACTGTCAAGGCGCAACAGTTACGTTGATTCGCAGTGTTGAAGTCCCAAGAGCCCCAATAGTGGCGTTCTGACACGATTCAGGATCGTCGAGACGCAACAAGCAGGTTAACTCGTGGCGTTGAACTCCAGAGATCGGATTTCGGCGCGCATCAAAATGTTCACACGGTTGTCCCCCAACGGGGCACTTCCCTCAGCGAAAAATGAACTGTTGCAAGGGAAGAGGGAGTTTGGAGGGAAGGTGCATTCCAACATCGTTGATGAGTCTTGGGTTTGCACTGGTCCTCCTCCTCCTCCTCCTCCTCCTCCTCCTCCTCCTGCTCCTCCTCCTGCTCCTCCCTCCTCCTCCTCCTCCTCCTCCTCCTCCTCCTCCTCCTCCCCCTCCTCCTCCCCCTCCTTTTCCCCCTCCTCCTCCTCCTCCTGCCTCCACCCCCCCCCTCCTGCCCACCCTCGAAGGGGGTGAAGGGTTAGGCAGGGGCCGGCTCAGGGGCGGAAACAGCGAGCTGGCATCGGCGACTCGTGGCTGACAGATCTGCGATAAGTCGATACAGTCGGGGCCTTGACCTAAGGAGCCCAAAATAAGGAACGAGGCCCCATGGAAAACCTAAGGAAAACCTGAGGCAAACTGCGAAACAACTAAGGAACACGGAGCCCCTCCCCAACGAAAAGGGTTCCTTTTTCAGCGCCCCGACTGTAAGCCCTCGATAAGGAACCCGCAGTACTGGGCGGGGGGGGGGGGCTACCGGGCCCCAGTCGGCGACACATGGGCGACCGGGGGTCCATGCGTCCCCCCTGAGCCGATCCCACCCTTACGCTGCCCCTGCAGGAGGAGGAGGAGGAGAAGGAGGAGGAGGAGGAGGAGGAGGAGGAGGGGGTGGAGGAGGAGGAGATGGGGGAGGAGGAGGAGGAGGAGGAGGAGGAGGAGGAGGAGGAGGAGGAGGAGGAGGAGGAGGAGGAGGGAGGAAGAGGTCAGCCCAGCGCGCCTTGGCGCTGCCCAGGCCCTGACCCCCCCATCCTGCCCCCCCCTCGGACATCCCCCTCCTTCCCCCGGGCGCCCCCTAGGCGGCC